GGTTCCTGCACCTTACCGTGGCCGCATTCTCCTCGCTGTCTTCGGGCACATCTGTCGGCATCTGCAAACTGAAATCAAGCGATCGGAAATGAGGACTCCAGAAGATATACAGGGAAGAGCATCATCACCATTCTTCCTCCTCACCCATGCCACCCCCACCCACCACTCTCACTTTATGAACCCCTTATCAAGCAGCCCAGTATGATCTCTCACCTGTCAGGTGGTTATCAGCTACTAAAAAGTAAGCACTAAGCGCGGTCTCTCTCTCTCTCTCTTTCTTAATCTTCCCTCCCTAGCGCTCTCTCTCTCTCTCTCCCTCTCTCTCCCCCTCTCTCTATCTCTCTCTCACTCTCTCTCACTCTCTTCATTTCGCTCTTCGCTGTCATTCTGTGTTCTCAGGTTAGGGCCCAGGTCCAGATCGGTAAGTCAGTACTGCCATTCATCATCAGCACTCCACAGACTGACTACTGTGACTCACTGACTTGACGCCTAAAAAGCTCTCCAGATCTTGATTTGCTGCCGAGAGAGGAGAGGTGACACCACTACCACGTGCTGGAAATGTTTACTGCAGGTGCATGCAGCCCGGTGATAGCAGTGAAGCGTGATGCATGCATGCATGTAGGGAGCAGTGCTGTAGGAAGATGCTCAGAGTCACGAAGCATTCACTGACCTCTGGTAGATGGAGGCGATGCAGGAAGCGGCCGCTAGGGGGCATTATAACATAAGTAATCACATTCCTAATTGACTTTTTTTTTTTTGTGTGTGTGAGAATGTTTAAAATGTGTTATTAGGTTATCCCTGCTGTAAAACAGAGACTTGATTGCCTACCCATTTGCTTACAAAGTTTAATAGCCCTATTTTTTTATCTTCTTTGAAGACACACAATATTTTATTTGACAGATTCATTTCCAGTTCACCAAAGTATTTTCTAGTCTGTTATCGAAGGAGTGTATATGAACATGTTTTCTGTCAGAGTGCGAACATGGCCATGAGCAGTGGTGTGTCCCTCCCACACAAAGCCACAATAGACTCCGGCAGTGAGCAGCCAGGGCGCTATTATAGCCCTAATCCTGCTCCTATTATACAGGCCAGAGAGAGAGCGAGAGACACAGAGAGGGAGGTAGAGCTGAAGATGAGGTCATCCCAAACAGCACACACCCAGGGTCACTGCCTCACTATAGAGGGGCAGAGATAAAGAGAGAGATGGAGCCGGACATGGTGCTGCAGAGAAAAGGCTTCCAGGAGATTGACAGTGGCAGATGCTAGGATAGGTGAATCGAGAGATGAGGTTTAAACCTGTGTGTAAGGTGTTAAAAAAAAAAAGACCCTGACACATCACAGGGATGGTAAAGTAATTGGTTTATTGTATATGCATATGAAACCACACTACAACAGGAGCAGGAAACCATGATAAGGGCCTTTGTTGTAAAATAATGTTAATTCTAATCACAAATGAATAAAAGAATAAACTGTAGGAAAGTAAAAATACACGCTAATGGAATAAAACCAAAAAAAAAAAATTAGAATCAGTACATAAATAAACAATAAATACCAAATAAATAAGTGAATAAATAAAACAACAATTTATGTAACCTATACCCAAACAAAATAAATAACTCTAATGCATTAACCCTGGCAATAAATTCATGGGACAATTAAGAATGTGTCTCCATGAAGATTTTCTTTTAAATCTTTTTTTTTTTTTTGCATTTTTTTTCATCCCTGCACCATAAATTTTCTGTTGCATCAGTAGCCCACAGTACCCGAGTCCACAGTGACCAGCTCTGTGGTGCTGCATGTTGTAGTAATATGAAAATGATCTGTGTTTTCACAGAGCAATGTTTTTTCCTTTTTTTTTTTTTTTTTAACAGAGGTATTCCTTCTGCCCAAAAATAGCTTCCTAGTCTGAAGAACTGGACACAACCACACAAATCATGCCACACTTTTTTTTCTTTTTGCTTGCTGAAATGGGTTGCCTCTTTTTTCATATGCGGTTGCTCGAGTTAAGCACACTACCATCCCCGTGTCTCTGTATGTAAAAACCCATTCTCGAGAGCACACAGCAAGTCTGTTAATGGCTGAAATTTGCCAATTCCAACTGGCAAAAGTACATTTCTTTTCTAAAACAAAAGGTCAGTTTCCCCGCTATTCATTTAACACAATCACTGGAAGATATTCTTGTACATTCTTTAATCTATGATTATTAATCTTACAAAGAATACCAGGTCTTGGTGAGCTTAAACACTTTGGTAGGCAACTGTGAAATATTAGCTTAACTGCATGCCATGGATACTTTATCCAAGCCCATACCACTCCACATCCAACACCACTGCACTACTCAGACCTCTGCAGCTTTAGCAGCTTAATATAAAAAGAAAAGAAAAAAAGAAACAACTACACTGAGCCTCAATCACTCACTTGCAGAGTACATTGCAAATATGTAATATTGCATAGATAACAATGTCAGACACTATAATAGTTTTATTGCAAGATAAAGCTGTTTTTTAAAATCCATTTGCAGACTAGTGTTTGTCACCTGTTGCACTGATATCACCAGCAGAAGCTCTCAGGAAACTCTCAGTCAGTTTTTTGTGCAACCATGATTCACATTTAAGTAAATCTGAGCCTGTGAAGCAGCCCAGGGTTGAGTCTAACCCTATTAATTAACAGTCAGTTCCCCTTTAGTCATTCAAGGGTGGTTTTCACAGTTATATGATCCCCAAAACAGCCTTCCAAAGTCTCTCTTCCACTTTCTCTTTCACACATACACATGCACACATGCACCCACCCACCCACACACACACACACACACACACACACACACATACACGTTCTTGTTTCTGCGCTCCAAGTCTGATTACTCATTATTGATTGCTCCACGCTGGCTTGTCTATTTTCTTTGTGCACCCCTGTGGATTAAACTCAGAGGAAGTAGTCAGGGGGCGGGGAAGGTGGGTTGCTGGTGTGGGTCGGCTGGGCGTCACCACCAGTACCATGGTTTGTGCTGAGCAACTTCTCATAGCGAGCCTTGTAGGCGTCTCTCTCCCTCAGCACTCGAGTCAGCTCACACTGTAGCTGTTCCAACTGATGAGAAAGGAGGAGAAAGATTGTAATTTATCTGCGCTTCGCTGAGCTAAAGTGCAAAGATTCTCACTTGGAGTGCATTATTTATTCTATCTGCAGAGTGTGTCAGCAGTAATGTCAGATGCTGCATGTTTTTGCTGTCCTCACCTACTTTAAAACCAGAATTTCCCATTAAAAAGCTGGCTGGCATTAATGATTAATGCCAGTGTAGAAAAAGAGGCAAAATCTCAGGTTTGACACTTATGAAAAGAAATTGAAGACTGTGTACCTGCTGGGTAAGCAAATGTTTCTCAGACTCCAGAGCGTGCCTGTGCTGTAAGCGCTTGTAGCGGCAGGACTGGGCATAGCCTCGGTTCTTTAGCGTGCGGCGTTTCTGCTTCAAGCGCACCACCTCGTCCTTGCTCACTCCACGCAGGTGTCGGTTCAACTCGCGCACCGACAAGCTCACCAGCTGCTCATCAGAGAAACGCTCGTTCGCCCCGCACTGAGGAACAGATGGAGACGACACGCATAAAGAATATGCTGTTTCTCACCATTAATTGGCAACAAGACACATGCAGGAAATTATGGGAGGGTGTGCAGAGTGTGAAGCTGGTTCTGGCAAAGCTTTAGATTCATATATGGCATGAATGGTGTACACATGATGTGTCAAACTGAGAGTGTGTGTGTGGTGTGTGAGCGTGCCTGGCTGTCAGGGGGCACATTCTGGCACCACATGTCTATAATCTGTCATGTAATCTGACTAAGTGTGGGAGACAGTTATCAGGATTACCCACAGCAATAATAGCAGATATTATCATAAGCTCACACCGTGTTCCATATAGAGATCCACCCAGACATCTTGATCAACCAGAACACAGATTACAAAGTTCATTTACCTTTTACATGCAGAGCAGAATATTCACAACTGAGTTATTAATAAGATACTAATGTAGTTTTAAGCAGAAATACTTATCGACAAACATTTTTCTTCCTGCACCAATAACAGGCCGGCTGTAAATACAGTTAATGAATGAAGGGATGCACCACCCATGAGCTTCTAGGCCTTTGCTTCTATTTATTCCCCATTATTTGTAATGAAAACTGAGAAATCATTATAAAGTAATTAGAAAAAGTGGCTTAACTTTTTTATTTTATTGAGGTCTTTCAAGATTGGCATGACATAACACATAACAATCTGCAACATTGAGCCAAAATCTTGGTGCATCCTTTATTGTAATAATGCAAATTTACAGTATAACTTTTAAAATACTAATATTTAGAGGTTTACAGATGTCAGATTATAACTAAATTAAATTACAGAATACCTGCAGCTGCTAAACTGTTTTGGGAAAAAAGTTTCCCAAATTTTCCCTTAGGTAAAGATTTATCTTCCCTTATTGTTGCCATGTGGAAAACAATCCTTAAAGTGATACTTCAGATAGACAAAGACATTAATAACCATGTTGTAATGGCCTAATCCTAATCCTTTGCTGGACCATCGCTCCCTCCTTCCGCCCAGCCTTTTAATGCGACTGTTTTCTCGCTTCACTTCTTTTCCCTCCAGGAATTTCTCGTGGTTTACTGATTAACGCTTCCTGCTGAATATTATAATCATAATGAGGCCCTCTCTTCAATTCTGGATAGATTTGTACCTGATTGGTTTGTGAGTGGTGATGATGGTGATGGTTGCCATGCATGGGGTGGTGCGGGTGATGCTGATGATGGTGATGCTGGTGGTGATGCTGGTGGTGATGAAGGCGGCCCTGGGGGCTGAGGGGTTGGGGGTATGGAGCAGAAGCGGGGTTAGTGTTGGGGAGGGAGGGAGGGCCTGATGAGAGGAAGACGAGTGGGCGATGGCAGATGTCTGCTGCTTTGGCGCAGGAGATGTCACCTCCGCTGTCGCTGCTTGAGTCTCCCAGGTTGCTGCTTGAACTCTGAGAAAGACCTGGGAACTGAAGAGAGGAGGTGCAAATGATGAAGGGAGAGAGAAGTATAAAGTCAGTTGTTTAGTGGGTATATGTGTAATGAATAATAACACTGACATAGCATAAGAAATTCTTACCTGTGAGCTAACAGCTGCTGCAGCTGAGTTCAGTAGAGCCTCCACAGCATCCTCACACCCCAGGAAGCCATTCACCTGCCCTCTCTCTCGGTCCCCTCTCTCTGGCACCCCTCCCAAGGCTCCCAGCAAAGTGGCGGGCCCCGTCACCTCACCTCCAAACTGTTGCTGCAGTGCGGCCAGCCAGATCAGGTCCTCCAGAGAGGCTGGGGTCGGACCTTGAGGGCCGCCGTGGGCTGGACTGCCTTCCACGTTCCCCTGAGAGCCGGAGCTGATGTTGGAAGTGAGACTGTTGGGTATGGAGAGGGGAAAGGAGATGGAGGAGGACGATGAAGAGAGTGAGGAAGAGCCCGAAGGGGGTGGGTGGGCATCGCTGAATGTGGGCGAAGGTGGCAGTGAGTTGTAAGGGCTGGAGCTCAAGCTGGAGTCCTGCGGTGGGTGGCTGGTGTACGGAGAGCTGGAGGGGTCGTGGGTACCAGATTTAGGGTACGCACATGGAGGAGGGAGCGGAGGAGTGTCAGATTTGA